CGCACGCACACACTCACACACACACACACATCCCAGGGTGAGCCCCAGTACCGTTACTACATGTTCACCCACATCAGCTTCGACATCAAGTACAACGGCGACAGGTGAGCACAGCGCAGCTCGACGACGCCCTCGGCGACGCATGCGCACTGATGGCAACGTCCAAATCCCGTCCACGCCCTTCGCGTGCCCGCTGTTGTCCTCATCTCTGCAACTCACGCGCACACATACATACACACTCCCGCACACCTTTCCCCCCTCTACCTCTCCCGCACACCGACTCGCCTCTCCCCCCCTTGGACTGGGGCCTCCCAGGGTGATTGAGGTGAACGTGCTGACGGACCCGGCGCGCGTCGTCGACATAAGCGAGGGCGTGGACCTCCCCACAGCAGAGTTCACCTACAGCGTGAAGTGGGTGCCCACCACAATACCCTACGAGGAAAGGCTGCAGCGCTACGAGCGGTTCCCCCTCAACCCCGTGCACCTGGAGGTGGGTGGGAGGCACCGGAAGACGGACGGACGCGGGGTTGACTCGTGAGGGTGCGTCGACTGGGCGCGGCCAGTGGGGAAATTCCGCGTGGCCGGATCCTTGACTGCAAAAGCAGCTGCGGCGCAGCGCAGCGCCCCAGCACGCCCCTGGCCCGGCCTGTCACGCCATGAGTCCGGCCCGTCAAGCCAGTGCTGCTTTCAGTCCCTTGATCCTGCCCGATGTCCGCATTGTCGTGCACAAAGTCGCAATACCATCACCCACTGCCGCGCATGGCCCTGCACCGCGCCAGATCCACTGGTTCAGCATCATCAACAGCTGCGTCACGGTGCTGCTGCTCACGGGCTTCCTGGCCACCATCCTGCTGAGGGTGCTCAAGGCTGACTTTGTCAAATTCAGCCGCGGGGAGGACGGCGGTGAGGGGGGGACAGCAGGCGGCTGGGCGGCACACTTGATGGCACATCGCAACGGCCCCTGTTACTTCATGTTACTCAAGCGAGCGGTTGTAATTGCCTGCCTCCACCACATGGTCGAGGCACGCACTCCTGCCAACCACCCTGCTCCTGCCTGAGATGTGTCGCGCTCGGCTGGCCATAGTGCCTTCCAGTTCCCGACTGGCCGTCAAGCGCCGTCCTACCGTACGCTCAGGGCCCACATGCACACACGCACACACACACACACACACACACACACACACACACACACATCAAAACACAAACAACGCACAGAAAACACACACACACACACACAAAACAAACGTCGCATCAAACGACCCGCAGGCGCCCTGGAGGAGGAGGAGGCCGGCTGGAAGTACGTCCACGCGGACGTCTTCAGGTTCCCCCCCGCCAAGACGCTCTTCTGCGCCTTCGTCGGCACCGGCACCCAGGTCTTCGCGCTCTCGTTCTTCATCTTCGGGCTGTCCCTCGTCGGCGTGTTCTACCCCTACAACCGCGGCGCGCTGTTCACGGCCATGATAGTGCTGTACGCGCTGACGGCCTGCGTCGCGGGCTACGTGGCGACGAGCTACTACCGCCAGTTTGAGGGGACGCGGTACGCGCACTCGATACTGCTGACCGTGTGCGTGTACTGCGGCCCGTTCTTCCTCACATTCTGCTTCCTCAACACCGTGGCCATCGTGTACCGGGTGAGTGAGCGAGCAGGCGCTGAGGCGCCCAAGGTCTGGGGTTCCCGGCGCCGTTATCTGCGGCCTCTTTGCACGACGCCTCTGCAAAACGGGCCGCCTGACGCCGTGCTTGTTCCCACTTTCCTGCCACGCCCTGGCGGATGCCTTGTTGCCGAGGGGCGCTTTCCTTGCGGGGTGAGGCGATCGCGGCACGTCTTTGGCACCCTCCGCTGCCCCCATCCCCCTCCAACCACACCCCCGCCCCCTCGCCTTCCAGTCCACTGCGGCGCTGCCGTTTGGCACCATCTTGATCATCCTCTTCATCTGGGGGCTGGTCACCATACCCCTGACCGTCGCGGGCGGCATCGCCGGCAAAAACAGCAAGGCGGACTTTGACGCTCCGTGCAGGTTTGCTTAGCCCTGGCAAAGGGGGAGAGGTTTGATCAGGTTGTATTAGCCTGCGCGCGCACGGTCGCCGCACAGGAACCATCATGGTGGCCTGGCCTGGCTGCCCAGTAAGGGTGCTCCCTGGAGCCGAGGCTCCTTGCCCATAATCATCGCCCTCCTCGGCCCCTTCGGTCGCAGAGCCCCCACTACTGTCCTTCTCCAGCTATGCGCGAACTCACCAACCCGCCATGCACCCCCACAGCTTGATGAGATCTGCTGCTGATGGGTCACCCCCTCTATGCACATGAGATCCCGCCCCTCGCCCTACCATCCCTCCCCCTACCATCCCTC